GGGGGTGCGTGCCCGTGCGTGTGCGCGGCCTCGGCGGGCAGGGACGGGAGCCGTGTCCGTGATGGAGACGAACCGCAAGGCAGAGGCACAGGCGAGGAGCTCTTTTGTCTCGGGCTCGTAAACAAGTGGGAAGGAGGAATGTGTCGCCGCTGATGAACTCGGAATTTTGCAGCGATCCGCCCGGCCAGATCCCGGCTTTACCAGCAGCAGCGTCAACTGTCAAAATCAAATCTGATGCTAATAGCTTCGGTACTAAATAAAATGAGAGGCCAGATAACATCAGTGCTTGATAAATGGTAATGAGTGTCTAACCTAGGGGAACAGAAGGGCTGTGGGGCTCTTTAATTCAGTATTGAAAGGCTAGCTGGGTACTGCAGGCTCTAGCAGATGTTAGTATGTGTGTGTTTTGATTTTTGACTTGTATTGGACGTTTATTAGGCTAACCAGAGCCACCCCACGCATGGCCACTTGGTCCAGGCACCATCTGGCACAAGCAGGGCGGCGTGCAAGAATAGGGCCTCGCTTTGGTGCCGAGGATCCACAGGCAGCATCTACCATATGGACCCGGAGCTAATGTAGGTTAAAGCAAGACAAGCTGATCTCTGCTTTTCACAGCTCCGCCAAACCTCTCTGCCATCCTGGCGGCGTGCACCTTGGCGGCTGGGGAAGCGCTCCCACCTCCGCCTTCCCCAAAACCTGGCAAGAAGGGTGCAAGCCCCCCAGGCGCTCCCCGGCCCGCTCAGCCGCCCTTGGGCGGCCAGTCAAACTTTGCACCTAGTTTCGCTCGTTCCCGGCAGGAACGGCAGTCGCTCCAGCTCCCCACGTGTCGTCCCCCCCAAAAACAAAAATTTTTAGAAGCTCGAGTGAGTGTTGCAAAACAGACGTAAAATCCTCCTCGAAACTCCAGGGCATTATTTTGATTGCAGCTATAAAAAGAGCCCGTAATAAAATAACCGTGGGATATAATAAACCACCTGCTGCATGTTGACACACACGCACACGGAGTTCAGATAAAAAAAAAAGTTGCATTAATAGCATCAAACATCTGAGCCTGAAAGTCGACCGAGAGCAGATTAGAAGCGCAGCTCCCGCAAACCCTTTCCTGTGCCCAACGCGCCATCCCGGGTCGCTGCGGGGAGCACCAGCGCAGCGACCTCCCTCGAGAGCCTGGGCTCATTTCGAGGGGCTCGTGTCCTCGGGGGGGGGGAGCCCGGGCCCCCAGAACCCCCGGCTTTGCCGGGG